ACAAAAAAGCTTACTGAAATTAAACGCTTCAATTTAAATGAAGCCAATGAATCAGATTTAGTTTAAAATGTGCGTACTGTCACCTGACAGATCAAAGACAATGCAGAGACTTTAATTAGCAAAATAAAGTTATGGCAGATTCTGCTTGACTAGTGTATTCAGCATTGAGCAGCTCCACTGTGTTATAAACAACACAATCTCACGGCAGTTCGTAACTTTTTCATTTAGTGGCTAATTCGTATGAATACCTACAATCTAATTCGTACAATTTGGTATGATTTGCTCATCCCCTAATGATGGTTGGGGTTATGGGTGGGGTTAGGTGCCACGCCTCCTTTTTAAAATCGTACAATTTCGTATGACTGAACTCAGAATGAATTAGCCACTAAACTGGCAAAACGTAAAATACTTACGTTTTCTCGTGAGATCAGGCTGGTTATAAATGTGATTATGTTATTGCAATAGTTACATGTTATACTGCATTAAGTAATACAGTTCAAAGAAATGTTTTCTATTTATTTTTAAATATTAGGAAATTACCCATGGCAACTTTAATTTAAAGTAGTTTGTTCAATTCAATTCAGCTTTATTTGTATAGCGCTTTTACAATGTAGATTGTGTCAAAGCAGCTTCACATAAATGGTCATAGTAACTGGAACAGTGTGGTTCAGTAACTGGAACAGTGTGGTTCAGGTTTTAGTGTTTTAAGTTCAGTTCAGTTCAGTTTAGCTCAGTTCAGTGTGATTTATCATTACTGAGAGTTCAAACACTGAAGAGCAAATTCATCGATGCGTATTTGTGTATTTATCATCGACCCACAACTCTCTCAATGATATTTGGTTTTCGGCCTTTCATACGAAAAAGCGGAGGCACCCCTGATGTAGAGCAATATACTAATATCTTTACATATGAAAACAAAAGGATTCAAATGTTTAAAAAATTATTATTTTCTACATAAATATAATATATATCACTTTCTCTTTGGCTTCTTCATCTCGAGAGGCTTTTTCAGTTTATCCATGACAATCTGCATTTGTATAATGTTATTATCATTAGCAGGATTATTTATTATATGCATATTTATATTTGTTTTAATAACATCAGGTTTAGATTTGTCTGCCTGTAGGGTTTTGGAGACGTCTGTGTCACCATATGGGGCATAAGAACAAGACGTGTGTTTGGATATAACTCAGTTTTTTGACCACTCCTCATTATTATTGTTCATTTATTAGTTTACTGGAGATTAGAACTAAATTTAGTAATAGTTTTGAAACAAATCTTTGCACTTAACAAACAAAATTAATTATGTAGGCTAATGGATGTCTTCAGTGGAGTGAGTACAACACTGTTTCCTTATCCACCAAAGTAAAGGAGTCAAGAGTAAAAGTAAAGGGAAAGAGAAAGTAAAGAGGCTGAATGGAGGAGGCTCGTTCTTTACCCTCTTGCTGCAGATTCTCAGTTTAACTGTTTTCTCAATAGTGAAGCGTTCCGTTTTTTCACTTACTAAGTCAGTCATGTTAATAGAAAATGCGCCATGGCGTGACACAACTGACTCTGAAAGGGAATGTGAGATGAGACTCTGATCGGTTTAATGCCTGTTATGCTTAAAACACACACAAAACTCATTAAGAGAATGAGCACAACCCTGTTAGACCATGAGCTGGGGCGCAGAGTGTATTTTTCCATCCTTAAAATAGCAATCCGGACATGCTCTTAATGCTTTTTTACGCCATGCGCTTTAGACTTTGCGTCTAAATTGTAGAGCCCAATAACTCTATTTGGAAAGAATTAATGATGTTAGATGTATTGGGATGATTCGGCAGTGGCAATGCATCTCCATAAAATCTAATAAACGATCTATACATTTTTGGGGATCCTATGTGCTATTTGTTGTGCATTTCTGTATTTGCATCTGTTGTAAGTATTATCATGCAATACAATCTTTAAATACAATCAAGTAGAAGATATATTCCTTCATTTTCTTTTCGGCTTATTCCCTTTATTAATGGTTGATCTAAAAAGGTTTAGCATATACAGACAACACTATCAGAACAATTCCTGTACACACTCATCCATCAAAAAAGCTACATTTACTGCTTTTTGCATGGCAAACCAGTAGTTGGTGATGTTATTTTGTAAAGAACAAAATAAATGCAAATGCAAAACAACATTATATAAAATCACATTATATATTTGATATCGTTTTCTGGTACTGGTACGAGTCTCGGCTGGGTCAGTCGGCGTATCTGTGTGGAGTTTGCATGTTTTCCTCGTGTTGGCGTGGGTTTCCTCCAGGTGCTCCGGTTTCCTCCACAGTCCAAACAAATGTGTGATAGGTGAATTGAATAAACTAAATTGGCCATTGTGTATGTGAGTGTGTGTGAATAAGGTGTTTACCAGTACTGGGTTGCGGCTGGAAGGGCATCCGCTGCGTAAAGACATATGCCAGAATAGTTGGTGATTCATTCCTGGTAAATAAGAGACTAAGCTGAATGAAAATGAATGAATATAAGAAATTATATATATACACACATATACATACATATATATATATATATATATATATATATATATATATATATATATATATATATATATATATATATATATATATATATATTGAAATAATATATACACATAGTCCATTAAAAAAGGTAGTTGATTACCAGGTTTTTATAATAATAATAATAATTCCTTACATTTATATAGCACTTTTCTGGGCACTCAAAGCACTTTACACATAGGGGAATATCCTCATACACTACCAGTGTGCAGCATCCACCTGGATGACACAACAGCGCTCACTGAGCAGTATAGAGTCCCCGTCACTATACTGGGGCTTTAGGACCCACACAGACCGCAGGTTGAGCACCCCCTGCTGGCCTCACTAACACCACTTCCGGCAGCTTTCCCATGTGGTCTCCCATCAAGCTACTGGCCGGTTGCAACCCTGCTTAGCTTCAGTGCGCGACCATGTGAGAGTTGCAGAGAGGTAGCTGCATTATCTCAAACTATTAAAAATGTCAGTAAAGTTCACTTTCTCAAACTTTTCATCATTGATATTTGTTGGTGGAAAGATCAAGATCGTATAATGTAATTCAAAAGCATAATTACATGGGGCGGGGGCTAGATTTTCAATCATCCTCTTAAAGGAACAGCAAACAAATCAAGGACAACAGAATTTAGACCAAACACAGGATCCAGGGGGACTGAGAATGAGATACAGACTTTCACCCAAAGTCAAATTTATTCCAAGAAGCATCAGCCGTATTAAGGATAATCCCAGTAATTTTACAGATAACTTCTTTCATGATTATCTCAGTGAAACATGGTTTTGACAGTGGTTTATATAGTAGTGAACATTTGAAGTTCTACATAATTGGACTTAAAAAGTGTTAAAAACTGTCTTTCACTGTAAAAATTACAGTTTGTGTATTTTGTGATTCACATGTTTTTTTTTTTTTATGGTTGAGAATTGCATTATGGGATGTTGAGCTCTGCTCTCTCCACTTCTGATGTTGGTAATTTAACTCTACAATTTAACAAAGTGACTTTTATTGACATTTTATTTATTCATTCATTCATTTTCTTGTCGGCTTGGTCCCTTTATTAATCCGGGGTCGCCACAGCGGAATGAACCGCCAACTTATCCAGCAAGTTTTTACGCAGCGGATGCACTTCCAGCCGCAACCCATCTCTGGGAAATTGACATTTTAGTAGTTTAAAAATAACATATCAAGGGAAATGCGTCTGTAAAATAACAGATGATGTGCTGGCTGTTTATTACAAGGTTTCTATAATGTAATATACAACACCAACCCAGACGATATAGCACTGCAAACTATCAAACATGTTTATAAAAGTCACTTTTTCAAGCTTTTCAAGGTTAAACGTTGTTGGAAGAAACATCAAGATCATAAATAAACAAGGACAAATAAAAACATGAATCACACAATAAGGAAAACTGCACATTTACAGATCTTTTTTTTTTTTTTACATTGTGCCCTTGACTTCAGATTAGGGCGACAGTTCATCTTTCAGCAGGACAATGACCCAAAGCACACCGCCAAAATATCAATGGAGTGGCTTCACAACAACTCGGTGAATGTCCTTGAGTGGCCCAGCCAGAGTCCAGATCTAATCCCTATTGAACATCTCTGGAGAGATCTGAAAATGGCTGTACACCGTCACTTCCCATCCAGCCTGATAGAGCTCAAGAGGTACCGCAAAGAGGAATGGGCAAAAATTCCCAAAGACAGGTGTGCCAAGCTTGTAGCATCATATTCAAAAAGACTTGAGGCTGTAATCGCTGCCAAAGGTGCATCAACAAAGTATTGAGCGAAATGGAAATACTGTCACTCGACAGACAGAAGGCAATGCAGAAAACATCAGTGAGCAAATCAAACTTAAAACAGATGCTCCACTGAAATAAATTCTGTTATAAATATGATTGTTTTTGTTTTTAATATTATAAGTTTGTTGTAAAATGTAAATTATACAGCATTAGTAAATATAAAGCAAGGTTTTCTAGTTATTGTTTTGTTTTATATAGTTATTATATAAATTACCCGTAGCAACTTTAACATAATAAAGTTTGATTTAACTTCAGCCCATCATCCTCAATCAAGTTTGGTTGTTGGCCTGTTATAAGAAGAAGTTTGGACACTCCTTACCTTGATCAAATTGTACATCAATATCACAGGCTACACATTTTTGAAGTAAATATGATTTAAGGGACATTTCCATTAGCTCTTCCCCCTTTCCTCTCTTTTCTCAGGATGAACTGTCCAGCACAGGCAGCTCAGAGCGTGTAATATAAACACAACACCTCTGCTGTTTAACACATTGTTCAGCTTTAGTGCAGTATCCGCAAGCCTAAATGATCTGACAGTGATATTCCCCGCAGATGAATGCATGGATGTATGTTAGCAGGCTAGAGCAGGTGTGTTTTGTGCATGTCTGAGTGCTCCGTTCTCCAGCCGCGCGCGCAGTATTCAGGAGCGTAACTACGGACTTTACGTAAGATGTTGCGCTGGGTGCAGCATCCATCCCTCTGTACGGCCACGACGCGCACGAGCTGCCTGCATACACTCACCAAAATGCGCCAATAGGTTTGTACGCCTCATACCCCGGATAATCAAATTAGATTCGATTTTTTACACTTTAAAGCGAGCGATTGCATCGTTTTCGCCGGCGGTGGTATGATCTGTTAACTGTATATTCGCCGTTATTCACCGCGTCCGCGCGCACTGACGCGCTCCGGAGACACCGAGGCAAAAACCACCAGGAGCAGATCGTCGAGGAGAAAAGAAAAGGTACAGTGCATATTTGAGCAGATGCCCGATTTGAAACGCTGTGGAATTGTCGGATAATGGTTTGGTTGTGATTGCTGCTGTTTGATTTGATTTGATAGGTTTCCACATGGATATGATGAGGATGGTGATCGTTTAGACGAGGATCTGGATGATGTGATGATGGCTGCGTGAGAAGAGAACGGTAAGACATTTCATTCAGCATTGCATTTATTTATTTTAATAGGTTTATTTATTTAATTAATTCATTATTTATTTATGGAAGCGAATCCAGCGGTTGGATTTCGTGATGGGTTCGCAGTTGTCAACGTGAATGATGTCTTTGCTTGATTTGCATTTTTTTTTTCTTCCTCGTTATCCGTGAATTACACAGACACCCGTGTGCCATTTTGTTGCGCGTCTTCGAGCGTGCGCGCGCGCGTGTCGGGGCCTCACTTGTGTATTTCACGCGCGTACGACGGTCTCCGTTAAGACGCCGCAGTCACTAACGCATTCAGATGCACCGATTTTCTCTCATATAACAGCATCAGAGGCACTGCGGTCTCTGTCTGTGCTGATGCTGATCGATGCATCTGATGAAGGTGAATTAACAATCGCTGTCATGGCCTATGAAAGACATGTTTAATTCGTGCGTTCGACTCGGGGGTTTTTATTCCTTGGCCTGTGGCTGGTTTTAACGAAGCCGTAGTGCAAACAGAGCGCCGCCACCCAACCGGATTCCGACACCCAGCATCTGCAAATCAATTTAGCGTTGTCATGGTTACAGTGAAGCTGCACCACCGCACCTGTGACACACACACACACACACACACACTGAGAGAGAGAGAGAGAGAGAGAGAGAAAGAGAGAGAGAGATGCGCCTGCGTGTGATGGACAAAGATGTTTCAGCCGTATTACGACACTGTGATATATTAAATAAAATAGTCTTAATTTTGCATTGTTTTCTTCGGATTTGTGACATGTGCACATGCGCATCCGCACTCTCATGCTATTCAATTATTCATACAACACTCTAAAAAAATGGGTTGTTTTAATCCAGCGCAGAGTCAAATATGGACAAACTCAATCGTTGATTAAAAATCATTTAAAATGAATTTGAAAACCTTAACCCAACATTGTGTTAGTTCATATTTGACTTATATTTGTTAAAGCATTCATCATTTTTTAAGTGATGTTGGTTTATTAGTTGAAGATAAGCTAAACATAGTTTAATGCATGTAAATAACAGGGTTCGCTTGATTTTTGATGTCGACGTGGACCTAAAACGCTTGCTGCATAACGACTTCAGATCTCATGTCAACATGTTTGTCTTGAGCGTGGGATAAGAGCATGATCAGTCTTTTATTAGGATAATAATAACAGGATCACAAGTATTTAAAACCCGCATTACCTGAAATCTGTTTACTGAGAAATGTTGAAGGAAGGTGCAATAATTTACAACAGAACGCAAATGTTTTTCTGCTTTCATTCCTGTGTTGTCATACGGTTATATTTATCGTTTTGATGTTTATCAGCATGTGCTGTTCGTGATCATACTCAGTGGCTTTTAGTTTTAGAAAAATAAAGGAGGGTCATGATGACCTATGCAAACTCATAATGTTCCTGTATGCTTCCTATTTGGCTGTTTTTAAAGAAACTATAGTAGCGTTCAGGGAGTAGGGATCAAACTGTTTTGTTAGGCATGATCCACTATACAATCTTAAAGCTAGATCTAAACATTTCATTTATTCATTCGTTCAATTTCCTTTGGCTAAGTACCTTTATTTAACCACAGTGGAATGAACCGACAACTATTCCAGCCTGTTTTACGCAGTGGATGCCCTTCCAGCTGCAACCCAGAACTGGGAAACACCCATACACATTCACATTCAAACACACACTCATACATTACGGCCAATTTAGTTAATCAATTCCCCTACAGCGCATGTGTTTGGACTGTGGGGGAAACCGGAGCACCTGGAGGAAACCCACGCCAACACAGGGAGAACATACAAACTCCACAGATGCCAACTAGCCAAGCCGGGGCTCTAACCAGTGACTTTCTTGCTATGAGGCGACAGTGCTAACCACTGAGCCACCGCACCGCCATTTCTGAGTTCAATGTCATATTGGATTTTTAATTTGAAAATATTGAATATAATTAAGAATTATTAAATATTAACACTATTTCAGGATTCTTGCAGATTTACTGTCTGCTCTGATGCTCAAACTCCACTCTGCTGCCTAAATGTTGATTAGCAAAGCTGTTTATCCTGATTCTGCTGCCACTGCATTTCTGTCACCCCGACAATCACCACGGGTCGTCTAATATCTGCATTATTCTGTATTTATTCATCATTATTATCATCTCTCAGATATGAGGGTTGTTTACCTCGTTTGATCTAGAGCTCATTTATTGTTATTGTTATGTGTTATGTATTGCCTTTTACTCTAATCAGTGGTATTATTGGCATATTAAACTTTAACATGAGGAAAGTATTATAGCTATGCAATGCTTATAGAACCATACACATATTGTTGAAGGCTAAATGATCTGCCCTTTTTTTTTTTTTTAAATATTTACCAAGTGATGTTTAACAGAGTAAGCACATCTTCACAGATTGTCTTATTATATTTAATTTTTTTTATGTGAAGCAAGTCGTATTTCCTTTAGTTTAACTTGAATATATATATATATATATATATATATATATATAATCTTTTTAATCAAATTAATTAAAAATGTAAACATATTTGTACAGTTGAAACCAGAAGTTTACATACACCGTATAAAAGGCACATAATCATTTAAATAAAAGTCAGATGTTAATGTGACTAAACTTTTTCTCTTTTAGGTAAGTTAGGATTATCATATTTGCTTCTGTTATGCTTAATACAGAATAATGAGAGGGATATTGTTTGAGAAATTGTTATAACTTTTCTTGAAAGTCAAGTTTACATACAATAAGATTATTCTGCCTCTGATGAAGCTCAGATGATGATGTCAAGGTTTTGAAGTTTCTGATTGGCTAGTTGACAACATTGGAGATAATTGAAGGTACAACTGTAGAATAGTATTTAAGGAGAACCTCAAACACACTGCTTCATTCTGTGACAACATGGGAACATCAACAAGCCAGAATCAACAAAAAAGCCAGATTACAATTTGCAGAATTACACAGGGAAAAAGAATAATCTTTAGACATGTCCTGTGGTTTGATTGTACTGTTTGGCCATAATGACCAGTGTTACATTTGGAGGACAAAGGGGAAAGCTTACAAGCCTAGGAACCCCATCACCCCAACTGTGAAGTATGGAGGCGGCAGCATCATGTTGTGGGGCTGTTTTGCTGCAGGAGGGACTGGTCCACTTCACAGCATAGATGGCATCATGAAGAAAGAACATTATGTAGAAATACTGAAGCAACATCTCAAGACATCAGCCAGGAAATTAAAACTCGGCCACACATGGGTCTTCCAAACAGACCATGACCCTAAGCATACTGCCAAATTAGTTCAAATGTGCTTTAAGAACAACAGAGTGAATTTTTTGAAGTGGCCATCACAAAGCCCTGAACTCAATCCTATAGAAACTGTGTGGGCAGAGTTAAAAAAGCTTGTGCAAGCAAGACAGCCAACAAATCTGACTCAGTTACACCAATTCTGTCAGGAGGAATGGGCCAAAATACTTTCAAACTATTGTGAGAAGCTTGTGGAAGGATACCCAAAACATTTGACTAAAGTTATACAGTTTAAAAGCAAATGTGTGTAAACTTTTGACTGTTTAGAAATTAATAATAAAAAAATCCTCTCATTATTCTGGCATTCAGCAAATGTAAATCATTTAGGGAATCCTAAAAGAGCTAAAATAGTAAACGTTCAGTATGATTTACCATCAGACATCTTTTTTAAAAATGGTTATGTTCCTTTTTTTTAGAGTGTTTGTAAACTTCTGGTTTCAGCTGTATCTGATGTCAATATTATTAGGGTCTAAAGAAATTATTTCCCTCATTGGCTACAGAACAAACTGTTCTATTGTTCAATGACTTGCCTAATTACCCTAACTTGCCTAGTTACCCTAATTAACACAGTTAAACCTTTATAGACCACTTCAATGAGGTGATATTTATTGGCCCATAAACATTTCCTGCTTGTTGTCAAACTATTTCATAACTGTAACAAAATTCAATTCAATCATATCTTAACGTTAAAACTGCTGTCATCCTCAAACTTTTTGGACACACAGAACATGTGGAAATACAAAATGTAAAACAGGAAATAAGTTAGGACTATTGTTATTGTTAACATCCCTCAACATGGTCTATATGGCACTTTAAGCTGAATACTAGTATATTGTAAAATACTATGTGCCATCATCATGGCAAAGACCAATGAAATTAGTTATTAGTAAGTGGTTATTAAAACTATGGTTTAAAAATGTGTTGAATCTGTTAAAGAGCATTTGGGAAATGTTTGAAGAAATACATTTTTATTCATTCAGTCCCTTTATTAATCCGCGGTCGCCACAGCGGAATGAACTGCCAGCTTATCCAGCACATGCCCTTCCAGCTGTAACCCCTCTCTGGGAAACATCCATTTACACTCATTCACACTCATACACTAGGATAGGACAATTTACCCAACACAATTCACCTGTACAGCATGTCTGTGGACTGTGGGGGAAACCAGAGCACCCAGAGGAAACCCACGCAAATGCATGGAGAACATGCAAACTCCACACAGAAACACCAACTGACCCAGCTGAGGCTTGAACCAGCGATCTTCTTGCTGTGAGGCGACAGCACTACTGCTCAACTTGCGTAGCCAATAAAATTTCACGGGAGGAATAATACTTCTGCCTTTAACTTTAACTTTAACTAACTATTTATGCACATTAAACACAGAAAACCAACAAACCTAGTTATTAAAAGAATGAAACATTTTATTTTGCCAGGCCAGATCAATCCAGGATGTTAATGATAAGTTCATTATTGGCATCATTGGTTCCACAAAGAACATCAATGAATGTGACTGTAGCAGAGTAAAATACCTCATTCATTCATTTTCCTTCAGCTTAGTCCCTTATTTATCAGGGAGGGCCACAGCAGAATGAACCAACAACAATTCTAGTGCATGTTTTACGCAGCAGATGCCCGTCTAGCTGTATCCCAGTACTGGAAAACACCCATACACACTCATTTACACACTACCGCCAATTTAGTTAATCAGTTCACCTATAGCGCATGTGTTTAGACTGTGGGGGAAACCGGAGCACCTGGAGTGAACCCACAACAACATGGGGAGAACATGCAAATTCAACATAGAAATGACAATTGGCGCAGTCGGGACTTGAACTAGCAACCTTCTTGCTGAGAGGCAACAGTGCTCACCACTGAGCCACCGTAAAATCCTTTAAAATACTGAAATGTTCTTCACACTAATAAAAATGTCCTTTCAATAACTGTACATAGGCGAAACTTAAAATGTGATCCTGAATGACAAAACCAGTCTTAGGTTGTATGGGTGGATTTATAGAAATTGCCAAAATATACATTGTATGGGTCAACATTATCTTTTCTCAGTTATGCCAAAATCATTAGAATACTGTGTAAAGAACATTTACTATGAAGATATTCCCTATAAGCAGGGCCAGACGGAATCTGCGGATGTTTTTTGCTATTTCTGCTATAAATTTTGGTAAAAGTCTGTGGATTTCTGCTGAATTATTTTGGGAGTATCATAACTAAAACCTTAATATATAAAACAAAAATATTATATCTTTTTAACTTTAATGTTTAAAATGCAAATCCAATTAGATTCACTTTATTTGGTAAATAAAGCAAGTTTGTCATGTAATATATGTAGTAAAAGACAGAAAATATTACTCTACAAACTGCATTGTACATAAATCAGATGAACATTTTCACAGTAGTCAATAATATTACTATAATTAATTAAAAAACAGAATAAATATAGATTTACTCACATTTATTTAAGTAAATAAGCAGAATTAATGATGGGCTACAAATCTGTGGAAATCTGCGAAAAATATAAGTATATCTATTATAAATATAAGTATATCTATTATAAATATAAGTATATCTATTTGATATATCAACAGATTTTCTCAATATTTAGATTTTTTAACCCTTAAATTACATATTTACAATAGTTGTATTTCAGTAAAATATTGTCTATCTTGTATCAAAATATTATCTTGAAAACAAAGAAAAATATTCCCAGTGATGGGTTGCTGCAGGATGGGCGTCCGCTGAGTAAACCATACGCTGGATAAGTTGGCGGTTCATTCCGCTGTGACGACCCCAGGTTAATAAAGGGACTAAGCTGAAAAGAAAACGAAGGAATGAAACAAAGAAATAAAAATATTTTCAGCATAAATCTTAATTTTTCAAAATTGACACTTTCAACTGAGGGTCAGAAACTGACCTTTTATAAAAAAAAAATTCCAAATTAAAGAAAAAAATATGAATAAATAATGTTCTATATTTAAAAAAAAAATAAAAATAAAATGAAATAATTCAGTATAAATCTTAAATTCCAAAAATTGACACTTTATGATTGAATTTGTGGTCCAGAGTCACAAATGATTCACTTTTGGTACTTTTTAAAAATGTTTTTTCCAAATAGAAGACAAAAAAATATTACTTTGTGTTGTTTTCTACAATGGGTGGCACGATGGCTTAGTGGTTAGCACTGTGGCCTCACAGCAAGAAGGTCACTGGTTTGAGTCCTGGCTGTGTCAGTTGGCATTTTTGAATGGAGTTTAATGTTCTCCTTGTGTTGGTGTGGGTTTCCTTCAGGTGCTCCGGTTTCCCTCACTGTCCAAACACATGTGCTATAGGGGGGATTGATTAACTAAATTGCTTGTAGTGTATGAGTGTGTGTGTGTGAATGTGAGAATGCATGAGTGTTTACCAGTACTTAGTTGCAACTGAAAGGGCATCCACTGTCTAAAACATTTGCTGGAATAGTTGACGGTTCATTCCAATGTTGTTACCCATGATAAATGAAGGGACTAAGCCGAAGGAAAATGAATGAATGAATGAATGAATGAAATAAGTCCAAACACATGTCCTATAGGGGAATTGATTAACTAAATTGCCCGTAGTGTATGTGTGTGTGTGTGTGTGTGTGTGTGTGTGTGTGTGTGTGTGTGTGTGTGTGTGTGTGAGAGTGCATGGGTGTTTTTCAGTACTGGGTTGTAGCTGAAAGGGCATCCACTGTCTAAAACATATGCTGGAATAGTTCATTCAGCTGCGGTTACCGATGATAAATAAAGGGACTAAGCCGAAGAAAAATGAATGAATGAATGAAATGTCCAAACACATGCGCTATAGGGGAATTGATTAACTAAATTGGCCGCAAAGTATTAGTGTGTATGAGTGTTTCCCAGTACTGGGTTGCGGCTGGAAGGGCATCCACTGCGTAAAACATATGCTGGATTAGTGGCGACCCCTATTAAATAAGGGACTAAGCCGAAGAAAAATGAGTGAATGAATGTTTTCTACAAGCACTCCATGTCTAGACACTTAAAGATTAGTAGTGAAATAACATTGTTTACGCAGTGGATTTTACCACTGTACAAAATGTGAGAAAAACTACTGTAAAAACTGTAAAGCAGCAACAGTGAAAGAGTATTTAAACCAAAAGAGTATATCACTGTATTACAAACATTAAATCACTGTAATTTATGAAACATTATATAACTTTCACTCTCTTAACATGTAAACACGTACAACTTGTTACAGTGAAAATATAAATTTCGGTGAAATAAATAAAAATATACCATAACTTCATTTTTTTTGGCGTCATTCTCTAATTGTATCTAATTCTGTAATTGTCAGACTCTATATTAAAGTCTCCCTCAACTGTCTTGTAAAGAATCCTCTCTGCTTCAGTTCTGCCTCCTACAACAGGCACTCATTAACTACATTAAGATGGTCACTATAGCGGACATTTAAAAAAGGAGGATATTTTGAAACACAAACACATTAACAGCTTTGAAAGCTAAATCTATTGTTCTTGACACTTTTATTAACAAATATAAATGTAATAATAATATTAAAAAACATTTAAAAAGCTAAATTCCCCATGCCTCTCTCCATCCCTGCAGAAAAATCCAGCTTAAACCAGCCTAGGCTGGTCGACCAGGCTGGTTTTAGAGGGGTTTTGGCCATTTCCAGACTGGTTTTCAGCCATTTCCAGCCTGATCTTAGCTGGACAGGCTGAAAAAAAAAGACCAGTTAAATCCAGCTTGACCAGCCTGGTTTAAGCTGGATATAGCTGGTTTTGGCTGGGCTCCCAGCTTGGCCAGGCTGGTCAAGCTGGATTTAGCTGGTCATCTCCTAGCCTGACCAGCTAAAACCAGCCTGGTCGACCAGCTAAAACTAGCCAACCAGCCTAGGCTGGTTTAAGCTGCATTTTTCAGTAGGGTTCCCATAAAATGTGCTTTTTTGTATGTCGGCCATTTTGAATGCTGTGTCAGAAGTGGTTCCTAGCATGCAAGCCAATCAAATGACATATCAGGATGTCCTCTGAATTGTACAACAGGACTTGACAGGGTAGCTCAAAAAATTCAAAGACAGTTCATGAAAACACCCTGTCCACTACAGAGGACACAAGTCAATGGCCGGGGTCTCAGGAGGATATGCTGAATAAAGCCTGCCTTCTAGTACAGGAGCCAATCAGCAATTGCTATAGACTGATGATGCTCTGGGGGAGGGGCTCAGATCAGACGAGAGTTTCTGCAGATTTTGTGATTTGGACGTTTAGAAATGAAACTGAAGAGACGGCTGTTGTTTAATCTTATTGATGATTCCAAAATCTTAAGCTTGGCAAGCTGTTTTGGAGAATTTGATGTTTCCCTGTTTAAACAGATACTGCCCGAGAGGCGTTTCAAAGATGGCCGCCAAGTGAAATGACTTGCCTTGAAGGGACTTTGGTTAGGTCACATCATGATGACAAAATGGCGGATGTAGTACGTCCAAGTTCTATTCATACTGCTCACATTCATACTGTATAGAACCTACATTTCCAATGGCCGAGTAGTACGATTAAATTCAAATGCAGTACTTAGTAGTCATGCAGCCATCCTTTAAACTCTATAGGAGCAAGATATTAAACTAATGACGCTTGTTTGTTAAATAAGTGAATTTTAAAGGTTTAGTTCATCCAAAACTAAAAAATCCAAATCCCTACATTAGATCTCATCAGTCCTTACACTACAGACGACATCTCTGCCTAGAGGTCACAGTGTTTATTCGCATAGGTCACAGTTTTGCTGTGCTGATGTACCGACCCTCTCACCCTTAGCTGTATGAAATACGATAAGCTGTACATATATGCAGTTTCTGACCTCTCTCTCTCTCTCTCTCTCTCTTGTTCTCCCTCCTCTGTGTTTTCTTCCAGTAAGCAGAGCCAGTGCTGACTGTGATGATTCTGATGGCAAGCAGGAGACTCCCGTAGCAGCGTGCAGTCTGTGTGGATTACACTTTGATGCCACAAGATACCTGATTCCACCAGTTAATCGTAAAAAAAGTTAATTCTCTCTCTTGTTTTGTGGATGCCGTTATTGTAAATACACTTTCTTAGCCATTGCTTTTTGTTCCATTTGTGGAAATTGAGTCCGTTTTTGGACATCAGCTGAAAGCCAAATAAATAAGCCTAAAATTCTTGTATGATTTGTTAAGATTAAATGAAATATGACTATTGAAAATATGAAATTTTTGGGTTATTAAAAAAAAGGTCCCACTTTATAGTGGCCTTAACCAATATGTACTTACACAGGAATTAATAGTTTGTTACAATGTACTTATTGTGTAAATACATGTATTTACTGTGTACTTATGTTTGATTAAATAAATGTATGTAATTACATCTGTAATTAACTTTTGTAATTACATTTGTAAATACTCTGTTGACCATCTCTTACACCTTAACCTACCCTTAAACCTACCCACACCACCAAACCTGTCCATAACCCAACCTCTATCCCAACTCAAAAGCACCACAAGTGTTCTCAAATACATTATAAACACAGTAAGTGCATTGTATTTATTTTTTGATGTAAGTACATAGTAGTTAAGGACACTTAATATAAAGTGGGACCAAAAAAAAGTAAAATATTGAGAAATTTACCTTTAAAAACAAAGATAATAATAATAATTCCTTACAATTATATAGCACTTTTCTAAACACTCAAAGCGCTTTACACAATGGGGGAACCTCCTCATGCACCACTATTGAGTAGCATCCATTTGGATGATGTGACAGCAGCCATATTGCGCCAGAACTCACACCACTGATTGGTGGAGAGGAGACAGAGTGATGAAGCCAATTAGGATATGGGGATGGTTAGGAGGCCATGATGGACAGACAGCAGCTTAAATAGCACCCTGGGCGAATTAAAAAGGGGGATGTATAACAATGTATTATTATAACCCTAAATTAACCGAAAGAACAAAAAACAAAAATATGGACAAAACCAAAAGTGGGATTATTAAAAATATATATATTTCATTCATTCATTCATTTTCTTTTCAGCTCAGTCCCTTTATTAATCTAGGGTCGCCACAGCGGAATGAACTGCCAACTTATCCAGCATATGTTTTATGCAGCGGATGCCCTTCCAGCTGCAACCCAACACCGGGAAAGACCCATACACACTCATTGACACACATACACAATTTAGCTTACCCAATTTCCCCTATAGCGCATGTGTTTGAACTGTCGGGGAAACCGGAGCACCCGGAGGAAACCCACGCCAACACGAGGAGAACATGCAAACTCCACACAGAAATGCCAAATGTGAATTAATCTGCGGTCGCCACTGCGTAAAGCACATGCTGGATAAGTTGGCGGTTCATTCCGCTGTGGCGACCCCAGATTATTAAAGGGACTAAGTCAAGGAGAAAATGAATAAATCACACGTAATAGACACATGATGTTATCAGAGCTTTGAGTTTGTTAAATAATAATACAGATGTATTTAAACTTTTATTTGATAAAATCATGTTGGACCAACTTAATTGCATCTAATTGTGTAAATAGTGTTTTTTAGTTGGTGCTAAACAAATTTATTGGATGGAAATCCTGCCCTCAATTGAATTGAGTTCATCCAATCAGTTATTTTTTTGAGTGTATTGAACAGTGCTGAAAACCTGTAACCATTGATTTCCAAAGTACTTGTACTTCCTATTTTGGATTCAAAATGTCTTCTTTTGTGTTTAAGCAAGAAACTCAAAAAAGAAAAGTATATGATGACTGGATTTACATGTTTACATCTCTTTAAGAACACTGAATGCTCACTGTTTGCTATTTTTGTTTTAGGAAAGGGGCAGGACATGACTCAGTTGCCATGCAGGCTGCTATGGTAACAGGCTTTTCCAGCCCCTCCCCCCTCATCTGGTTGGTCCAACTTTTGTTGTGGCCACACCTCCTTGGACCTAGATTGGCCGAAGCCAGTCCCGCCTGCCCTGCTCTCTGTAGCTGTTCGAATCAAGCCAGTCGAGTGATCTGTACCAAAAAAAGCTTAAATGAAGTTCCACAGAGCATCTCGTCCAATACTCGATACCTCAACCTCCAGGAGAACTCCATACAGGTAAATTCATGGATTCTGCATCGTCATATCCAGAAACTTCCAAAATTGGCCCTATATGAAAACAACAATGCCAGACATTGAACTTGCTAGGACTTAAAGTGTTATAAAATGAAAGAATGGTCAGTGAAGATGTGTCCTAATAAAAAAAAAAACACAAAGTCGTAAGTAATGCAGAATGCACAAACTGTTCTTAATAATTGTAAAGATCAGATCACATAATTGAAAGTGTATAAAATTAATAGACATCACCTTTTTAAAAAGTATACGTTATGATGTAGCTGCAGGTTAACGCCCTATTCACACGGGGCGTCAGCGTCAACGCTTCCCATTCACTTTGAATGGGTGGCGTCAGGCGTTGCCGAACTGCATTGTGGATCCGTCGGCACCACTTCAGAAGCGTTGCTCGCTGCAGAAGGTGGGACTAGCTCAACTTTTCAAGCGCCAACGGAAGCATCAGCCAATCAGATCGCTGTATGCAAATACACCAGCTCAGACAGTGGCCTATTGCTGACTGGATTTCATTGGCTGACGCTTTTATGACGATCGCTTCAGCCCCAACTTCAGACACGCCTTCAGTCAAGCGTTGACGCTGAAGCCCCGTGTGAATAGGGCGTAACTGTGATTAGATACTGTCCATCCTATACTCAACACCTTAACTCTTTCTGATTTATAAATGTAATAACATGCACCTTTTGTGAATCTGCTTTAGAATGAAAACTGTGAAAAGTGCTAAACAAAAATAATGAATTGAATCGGGTGAGAAGTTTAACTCTTTTATTGATGTGCTGCTCCTAAAACATACCTATCTAATCATATTAGCTAGAAATTTAAGATATTGAACCGAATGGTAAGTAATTAAAGCCATATTGGTATTCCTGTTGGAAATGAAACACAAATATCATATACAAGCGTGACATTTTTGTAGGAATTATGGGATTTACTTGCAGTAGCTTCCACAGCCTCGGTGCTAAAGATTCTTGGTCGACCTTTGTTTATGAGCTCTGTTAGTTAAGCCCTCCAACGCTACAACCATCAGGCATTGTAAACCAGTCATCTGAGTGGCAGATGGTCACGCATACGCACAAACTGAAATAGCAACAAAAAGACAAATACTTCGAGTGTGAGGCATGCAGGGATCTTGAGCAACTCAAACTGCTGCAGAACTGGCTATCCTGTTTCCCTGTAGATTCAGAAGATGCAGTAACCCAGTTCCAGAATATGTTGTAACTCTGCTCCCGTTTCTCTTTTTTTTTTTTTTCCTGCAGGTGATCAGGTCAGACACTTTCAAGCATCTAAATCATCTGGAAATTTTACAGTTGTCTAAAAACCAGATTCGTCAGATAGAAGTGGGAGCGTTCAATGGCCTTCCCAATCTTATCACCCTGGAGCTTTTTGACAACAGACTACCGCTGGTACCTTCACAGGCGTTCGAGTACCTGAGCAAGCTGCGTGAACTCTGGCTGAGGAACAACCCTATAGAGACCCTGCCAGCCTACGCATTCCACCGCGTGCCGTCACTGCGACGGCTAGATCTCGGGGAGCTGCGCAAACTCAGTTTCATCTCAGAAGCAGCATTTGAAGGGCTGCTGAACCTGCGCTTTCTGAATCTGGGTATGTGCGGGCTTAAGGATGTACCCAACTTGACACCTCTTGTGCGACTGGAGGAACTAGAGTTGTCGGGAAACCAACTTGGCGTGGTGCGTCCTGGATCGTTTCAAGGCCTGGTGTCTCTGCGCAAACTGTGGCTCATGCACTCTAGGATCTCGGTCATTGAGAGGAATGCATTTGATGACCTGAAGAACCTAGAGGAGCTCAATCTGTCTCATAATTCTCTGCATTCATTGCCTCATGATCTCTTCACTCCACTGCAGCAGCTGGAGCGTGTGCATCTGAACCACAACCCTTGGGTTTGCAACTGTGATGTGTTGTGGTTGAGTTGGTGGCTCAAGGAAACCGTACCTGATAACTCCACCTGTTGCGCACGCTGCCATGCCCCACCAGGCACTAAGGGCAGGTACATTGGGGATCTTGACCAGCGGGATTTCACCTGCTATGCTCCTGTGATCGTGGAGCCACCGACCGACCTGAACGTGACCGAGGGAATGGCAGCGGAGCTAAAATGCCGCACTGGGACATCCATGACATCTGTAAACTGGTTGACCCCCAATGGTACCTTGATGACCCATGGAGCCTACAAGGTCCGAATCTCAGTCCTTCACGATGGTACTTTGAATTTCACCAATGTGACCATGCAGGACACAGGACCATACACCTGTATGGTCACCAACTCTGCTGGCAACACCACAGCGACTGCTGTGCTGAACGTCTCTGCTCCTGACCCAGGCAACGGCTACAGCTACTTCACTACTGTTACAGTTGAAACCGTAGAGACGGGGCAGGAGGGACACGATTCGCCAGCTCGGCAGTTTGTCAACGAGACCTTTATTAGTTTTCCAGGACCGACGGCCGCATCTACATCAGCAGGGCCCACTGGCTCTATGCTGTCCTCCTTGTCACCACGAGCCACACGTGCACCAGATCGACCGTTCACTGTCTCCATCACGGATGTTGCCAACCTGTCAGGTCTTGAGGATGTAATGAAGACGACCAAGATCATCATCGGATGCTTTGTGGCCATCACCTTCATGGCGGCCGTGATGCTGGTCGTCTTCTACAAGCTCCGCAAGCAGCACCAGCTGCACAAACACCACGGTCCGGCACGGGCCATTGAGATTATCAATGTTGAAGATGAGATCGGATCTGCAGGGGGAGCTAGCGGCATCACTGGAGGGAGCACTGTCCACACGGGGGCAGGAACTGGTGGAGGAAGCGGACAGAGTCCGAGAATTCATGACCCTGAGATCATGACCCTGCCAAGCGTTGGGCAAGCAGACCACCTGAACCACTACTACAAAGCGCACCACTTTAACAACAACGTGCTGGGCTTGAACATGACCACTGGAATGCTCAACAACAAACCCAACCCTTCTTCTCAAAATCAGGCTTCGACCTTGAAAATGGGGCCTGCCGGTGACCTTGGCCCCAACCCAGGCTCGATCTCGCCTCCCTTGCCAATTCCCATCCCAATGGCGATGACTTTCCATGGATCTCTGAAAGGCCATAGTCACGTTCCCAATGTGCAGACTGAGCCGCTGTTGCTTTCGAACGGCTCTAAGGAGAGCGTTCAGGAGACCCAGATCTGATTTCTCGCATACCCGCGCACTCGCAGAAAGGGGGGAGTAGACTGGATTTTTACGCCAGAGTGACTGTCAAGTCTTTGACATTATGGAACTCCATAATCCCTTTCCGACAGATTCCATGGAATATTCCGTTCAATGAACAGAGACAGGCTTTTACTTCTGAAGTGGACATTTGGCACTATCGAGTACATATGTGCCAAAGCAAGCGTCTTTTTTGCAGTTCTTATGAGTTGTGTCCGCGTATAAAAAAAATATAGTCTATATTAAAGTAGTGTAATTACTTCAGTGTCAGTTTGCCACAGTCCAGCGACACCGAGTACACACACTGATGTACAGCAGCTAACAGACCTGTATAAAAGCATACACACATTTACACTTCCTGGAGGTTGACATCATTATTCATCGCACTCACCTCAGTAGGTTGTGTACCTGTGTGTGTGTCTGTGTGTGCGCGCGCGTGTGTGTGTGTGTATGTGTGTAAGGGACAGTGTTACCTGAGACTAATTCAGAAATAAAGACTTAAACTGCTGTGATCCAGAACACATGCTCATGTTCACTCTGCTTCATGATGCCATTCTGAATCTAGCACAAGTGAGGATCAGTTCATAAGCTCAGAATCCGAACTGTAAACGACAGCAGTTTCAGGGTGACATACACACACACACACACTGTCATCATCAAACCTAGAGAAGAGGGCAGAGAGAAGAAGCCTTTCCGTGTGAGTTCTCGGCTGCTGTCCTCAGCAAAGGTACCACCTACCGTCAACAAGCCGCCGTAGTGTAAACTCTCTGTGCATATTTACGTTTGAAGAGCTCTCGAGTGTCATATGTTTGTCTTTTTCGCCTGTCAGTGCTGAGTTGAAGAGTAACAGCAGTGTGTAAGGGCTATTTCACTGGCGGTGGGTGTTTATGATGTGCGCAGAACATGTCTGGACTTAAAGTCAACATGAAATGCCATTTACCTTCTGTAGTGTTTCTGCGTGAGAACAGGATACTCGATGGATGTGCGGGGCGGATCTTGACTTTGTTCATCAGGGATTGAAAGCGGACTCGAGGGATTTGTGATGTAGCCGAAATGGAAAGGTCTGAGAGGCACTGCAGGTTACGTTTTGATAAAAGATTCTGAAGATATTTTTTTTTTCTTACTTGGCCTCATGTGCGCAAGTTGAATCGTGCACAATAAGACCAGGAATCTGTGTTTTAAAAAAGAATAATAACAACAAAAGTCCATTTTGAGTTGATGTTGACTTTAAAATAAGCTCTATTCAAGCTTTGAGATATACTGGGATACGCAGCACAGGGGAATTTCACCAACATGAAAAATTTTAGATTTTTATCAGAGAGAGAATGAAAGGCATTGTGAAAATGTCTAGATTTTTCTGACGGAAGATTTTGCAATATGTAATCTAATGTAAAGATTTTCAAGTATACTGTTTATAGACCAAATCGGCGGGTTCAAGGGGTTGGTTAATAGCCGGGGTTCAGGGAGGGGGAGGAAAAAAAAAAAAAAAAGGGGGGGAAAACCTTGAGCCACTGCAGATTTAACATTAGCCATCCGGGTTCAGAGAGTATTTACTTTGAGGAGATTTACGGACTGACCAGTCCTCCGTGGGAGCCATACAACACCTGCTGACTACATGAAGCGATCTCTTGATCAAGTCCTCATTCTTGAATGGCTTTGAAGTTGTATATTAACAATGTGCAATGTGCCATTAATTGGAGTAGAGTACACATGCGTGTATTATTGTAATTGCTGCATTAAACTTTATTCGGTTTTTAATTTCCAATTCATCATCCTTTTTATCCTGCTGTTGTTGATTTGATTCACCGAATGCTGGGGACGCTCATAAATCAAGCTGGACTTAATTGAACAAACTGTTTCCTGCATTATGTGTAGTTCTTTTCTCAGTGCTATAAATAGCCTGAAGATATGCTAGGATATCAGTCGGTCAAATGTTATTTCTCATAATGGAATTACAGGACAAACCGCATCTTATCCTGTTTTTTTTCTTCTTCATATATATATAATATTATTATTGCTTTCCATATTCCTGCCTACAGTATAAAAGCAGACTGTGTTTGAATATCCAGTGTGGTTGCTAAGCAACAACATCATTGCCAGGAAATGCTCTTTAAAGCTTATTGTAGCACCTGACCCTCATCTGCTGATGCCGAACATAGGTATATCAGAATTACGTCAGTATCACATAAGGAAAAGGTTAGTTAATGCGGGGAACGTGTTCTTTGTGTTCTCGACGGCAGACAGAATTAAAACACGCACATCCTCAGTCAGATACGTGCAAGAAAAGACATGCTCTTATTGATGAAGAATGAACGTGCAGTTTTGAGGGAGACGTGTTCGCGTTTAACATACATCCAAAATGTCTGCGTCACATTCGCAGTGATATACGCAAATAGTCTGTATTATGTCTCACAGAAGAGATTCTCATTCTATGTTACGTTAAACGGAGTGCACGATGAGTCATCGACATCTTAGATTTATTTTTCCTGAAAGAGAACGTTTGTAGATTTTAAACGCATTTTAGTGTGATCATATTAGAGGCTTTTTTAAAGGAATACACCAGCATATAGCTGACAAGCATCAACTTGAAGAGCATTTGCTCTGACAGACATTATACAGTTGAAATCAGATTTATGAGCCCCCTCTGTTTATTTTTATCCCCAATTTCTGTTTAACGGAGAGATTTTTTTCAACATTTCTAATCATATTAGTTTTACTAACTCATCACTAATAACTGATTTATTTATCTTTGCCATGATGACAGTAAATAATATTTGACTAGATATTTTATAGACACTAGTATACATCTTAAAGTCACATTTAAAGGCTTAATTAGGTAAACTAGGCAGGTTAGAGTAATTAGGCAAGTTGTTATATAACGATGGTTTGTTGTGTAGAGCTGTGGTTCCCAACCCGAGACCCCCTTTTCCGCTGGAAAATATTGTATGTCCCCCCCTCCACATTTAATGATATTATCGCTCATTTAAGTTTGCAGTAATGATGACAAAAAATGTTGTTTTCAAACAAACGGTACGTTTACTATATCTACATTTGCACAAATAATAGCCTAATGCAGTGGTTCTCAAACTGTGGTACGTGCACCACTAGTGGTACGCAGGCTTCCTTCTAGCGGTACGCTGAGAAATGAAATATGTCATGTACATGCTACACACATTTCAATATTTATCAAAAATGATGTTTATAATATGCCATATATGACATAAAGCCTATATTTCTGAGGTAATCTGCCATGTTTTTTAACTTTGCAGAGTTGTAGCTGCTTTACTGGGCCTACTACGCTACTGTATTTCAATACTGCTCATTTTGGTGGTACTTGGAGAGACAGATTTTTTTCTGAGGTGGTACTTGATTAAAAAAGTTTGAGAACCACTGGCCTAATGTAAAATATAAAGCAAATCATCAGTAGGCCATTTGTAACTGAAAAATGTAAGCCTTTGACCTTTAAATTTGCCCTATTTGACATTCAATAACACAAATATCAGTATTTACACTGATGTATAAGGGAAAAAAATATATAGGCTATTACAATTTAATACTTGCATGTTATTTGTTTTGCTCTATCAAATGAAGTGAAGATTGCTGCGAATCAGCGAGATTCTAGCTGCGTCTCAAATGGCACACTATGCACTCATGTACTATGTACTTACACACTTAACAGCATAGTATATGCATGTAGTGTCGCCCCAAATGGAGCACTGTTTTTTTTACAAAACGGAAATTCAAACCGTTTCCCTGATGACGTTTGACGGTCGCCAAATTAGTGAAATAAATGACTGAAGTATCAGATAATGCCTGCCGTGAGTATTGCCGCATTCTCCATTAGGAGGCGCTATAATCACTCTCATAGGAGAATTTTGCTTTCACCATCCAAAATAAATAAAGTTATCCAACATGTGCGCCTGATAGCTCCGCCCTTTCAATGTGAGCAAACCTGCGGTCGTTGAGTGCGTGAAGTGTCCATCAATACACACTTCATTTTAGCGGCTGACTGAGTGCATCATCCGGGTAATTAAAGTGCTCTTATTATTTTTAGAGTTTTCAGTGTGAACTTACTACTGACATTATTTATACTACAAAATGGCATATAATAGTGCATAAGTATGTGATTTGGGACGCAGCTTCTGTCTTTTTTGTGCAGAACGGATTACAAAATTGTCCATCTTTTGATGAGGGGGTGGGTTGTAGGTTGCTAGTTGACCATCAACCGTTTTCCCAGAGGATGACAAGCTGACAAAACATTGCTGTCGCTCTGATACACGTTTTATCTATCGAAAAAAATTACAAAGCACTGTTTGGTGTTCGGTGTTGGTCTGAGAAAACTAATCTTACCGAAATATGAATATTCCATATCACAGTTCTTGTCACGTGACTTGCGGTGAGCTCGCGGGAGTCATTGGCACCTCCATTGGAAACAGCAAACTTGTGCAAATTCTAGAAATGCGCGATATATGAACAGCCCCATTTACGATCTCAGTTGATCTTCTTGCAGAGCCATGCTGGATTCATCTGATTTGTTGACAAATGGGTTGCAAATCCATACCTTGGCAGTTCGTGGGCAGACATTTTCTAAAGACGCCTGTTTCTTACTCATTTTGCTACTTGTGGGTTAAATCTGGGCGCTCAAGTGACTGAGATGAAAGCGAGAGTATGCTTATTTAAAAAAAAAAAAAGACTTTTCATAATAAATATTTCATAATATTAGATTCAGATAATAAAATGGAAATAATTAATGATTTATTGTGCGGCCTGGTACCAATTGATCCACGGACCAGTGGTTGAGGACCACTGAGCTATGGGATAAAATGAACTAAGGCAACATGATCATTCTCCTAATTGTCCACTGCAAAGAAATGTTTCAAATATGACGCGACCCCCCACAGAGCTCGCTGAGGCCCCCTTGTGGGCCACGACCCCCCTGTTGGGAACCACTGATGTAGACTATCGAAAAAATATAGCCTAAAGGGGCTCATAATTTTGTCCTTAAAATTGTGCTTAAAAAAATTAAAACTGCTTTTATTCTGGCTGAAATAAAACAAATAAAACTTCTCTAGAAGAAAAAATATTATCAGACATACTGTGAAAATTTCCTTGCTCTGTTGAACATCATTTGGGAAATATTTAAAAAAAAAAAGAAAGAAAATTAAAATGTGGGCTAATAATTCTGACTTCAACATTGTGTCCAAAACCTCACTACAGAACCAGTTTTTCATACATCTATTTTAATATATCACCATAAACCGAAACGCCATCATGAGATCAGTCAGTATATATCCGAGTTGAGACGTGTGTTGTCCTGTAGCAGGTTGTTCTTCTCTATGCATCCTCTTTGTGGCCAGCTAAATCACATTACCCTTACGGCTACTGAGAGACAATTCATCTGAAGCTTTCCCCCATTTCAGAAAGCTGCTCTAAGCTGATTTGCAATGACTGAGAGATGAAGACAGCGGTGTATTTTAAGACAAGGCGAAGCGAGCTGTTTCTGAATCAGCACAGAACGATTGTATTATGAAGCAGTATCATCACTGTAAACTCTTAATGTGGTGGATCTCTCTCTCTCTCGTCCTCACACTGACTGTGTTCATGTATTGCCTTGTATATAATCTAAAGATGTAAATATTCTCTATTTTTTGACTTATCGTTAGCAGACCGCGCGTTCTTCAGGATCTGAAACCGCTTTTTGGAGACTATCTGCTTTTCTCTTTCCTATCTATGGGTGAATCTCATGAAAACGGCTCATATTTCAGCACGGTGTGACTGATACTGTGCACAGAGGGGGGAAATGAGGGTAATCAAGCTTATTTGACCACTAATGATTACTGCTGCACTTCTGATGTGTGTGTTGATTTTCATTATTGTAATACAATATCTAAATTAATGTATTAAATATATATATATATATATATATATATATATACAGGGTGGCCATTTATATGGATACACCTTAATAAAATTGGGAATGGTTGGTGATATTAATGTCCTGTTCGTGGCACATTAGTATATGTGAGAGGGCAAACTTTTCAAGATGGGCGGTAACCATGGTGGCCTTTTTGAAGTCGGCCATCTTGGATCCAACTTTTGTTTTTTTTTAATAGGAAGAGGGTCATGTGACCCATCAAACTCATTGGGAATTTCACAAGAAAAACAATGGTGTGAAGATACAAGATGTGCAGCACCTGAATCTACGGATACTGGAAGCCTGTGCTGGCGTTTCTCCTGCGGTGCTGCTATCAGTGTGTGAAGAGTGGGAGAAGAGGGTTGCATTGACAATCCAACACAATAGGCAGCACATTGAACACATTTTATAAGTGGTCAGAAACTTTTAAATAACTCACGAAAGAATAAAGTTACGTTAAAGCCAAGCACACCATTGTTTTTCTTGTGTAATTCCCAATAAGTTTGATGCGTCACATGACCATCTTCCTATTGAAAAAAACAAAAGTTGGATCCAAGATGGCCGACTTCAAAATGGCCACCATGGTCACCACCCGTCTTGAAAAGTTTGCCCCCTCACATATACTAATGTGCCACAAACAGGACGTCATTATCACCTACCATTCACATTTTATTAAGGTGTATCCATATAAATGGCCCACCCTGCATATGAAGAGTTTAAATGCAAAAACCTCTAAATGCATCTGAAGTCTTCTCCTAAAATGAGCATTTCTCTATGTTTATGTTCTGTTATTTCACTTTAAAGGCAATGAAAAGAACTTATTCGTCATTTTAAAAGTAAAATTTCAGAGC